GGGGAAGAATGGAGGGAAAAGCTAATTAAATGTGATACCATGGCATGTTTAGAGCACCTTTAAAATGTGATACCACTGCATGTTTAGAGCACCTTTAAAATGTGATACCACTGCATGTTTTAGAGCATCTTTAATCCTCATTATCCACCACACAACAAGGATGAGGAGCCAAAGGCAGGGGGGGTGTTAATTCTACCCTCAGTTCTCTGTGTGTGTGGAGGGACAGGGAAAACAGGATTCAGTTCCCTCGCTGAATTGGAGCCAAACTCCTCCAGAAGTGCCCAAACCAGAGGTGACCATCACCAGGTCCTGGCTGGACACAGGGAGAAAATTCTTCTGGATGGGAGGGATGAAAGCCCAGGAGATCAGGAGACACTGGGAGTCTCCAGATGTTCCGCCCCTGAGCCGATGGGGAACTTAGACCTGCTTGGAAGCGGAATGGGAAACTTCCAGGGGTCTCTTCCAAGCTGGGGCAGCCTAGTGACTGTGGGGGGGGTTACAGTGCCTTTGGAATTGGGAATTTTGGGTGCATCCCAACCTGCTGCCAAAGGAAGAAGAGGAAAACTGGTGCTTCCACTTCTGCCGGAGGTTTCCGAGCTGCGTCCGCTGAGCTACTCCATCCATGTGTGCTCTGGAATTTGGGTGACCTCTCTTTTTGGGACAGAGAAATTGGGGTTTTTGCTTCATCTGTGGCATGGGTGGGTTCCTGATGTGTCCTGGCCCAGCTTCCATGGCTGTTCCCAGATGGATACTGGGAAGGAAGAGAGAGGACGGTGCTTTGTGTCCGGTGATGGGAACCCTGTAAGTGCTGGTTGATGAGGTTGGGAGGAGCCTGATGAATTAATTAACACTGGGACACTAATTCCTGCTCCAGCCTGAGCTCCAGCCTGCAGGCTGCACTCTTTCCTCGTCCATGCAGAGAAGGGAATTCACAGGGAGGGATTTCCTGACAAAAATTTTTCGGGAGTGAGGAAAAAGTGCATCTTCCTCTTAGCAACTGCTCCTAATTTAAACAGCCTGGCTGTCCCAAGGCTATTCCAGGGTTATTCCTGACCTGCAGGCAAGCAATGGAATTCACTGGTGATAGATGTTCTTGGAGTAGAGATAATATTTACTGGTACTGAGGGACCAGCCCCTGGCTGGGCTCTGCTCACTGCATCTCCTGCCTTTTAATTTTTAATGTTTAACTGACAGGTTTGTTATGAACCAAAATCCTCTGGTGCAAGCAAACCTCTTGTTTCACCACCAGCATCTTCCCTTAGTAGGGAATGGGTTTGCAAACTTTATTTTCAACCTGTGTACGCCCAACATGCTGTTTCTAGTTTCTTACAACATCACCACTGAGATTTTTGGAAGCTGCAGGGGAATGCTTTGCTTTTATTTATTTATTAGTAGCCGTGGAAGTGAAATAGAAAAGCAGCTGAAGCTGGGAGGGATGTGAAGTTGTTGCTTTTATGCACTGATTTATAATTCCTGGTGGAATATTTGGTTTTTGTCCATGTTTGTTTTTAGGATATGAATGAAATTTAGGTTCCTTGCTCTGCTGCCCACAGGTCACTGTTTCAGATCCTGGACTGGTGTAGTTACATCCATAACACCTGTGCAGCCTAAAAGATGTGGTTTCCTAAATTTTTCCAGCTGCCTCATGGTATCACTTTAGGAAAATAAAATTTAAGCTGTTTTTCTCCCCATTTATAGAGTCGGGAATAATGTTTTGTTGGTGTTGCTGTAATGGAAGGAGTAACAGCAACCCAACGTCAGTGCCAGTATCTTGTTTTGACAGTTTTCTACATGATAATCCTCTTGTTTTGGGATAAATTGTGCCTTGATATTTATTATAATATTTTTATTATAGTATAATATAATATTTCTATTATAATATAATTTTATCATATAATATTTTCAAATATTATGTATAAATATATAATTATATAAACATA